GGGCCGACACGCTGCTGGTGGAGTTGGCCAACGTTCTGAGAGGCAGCGTGACCGTGTGCACCGGAGACTCCGACGTCGTGGCCGTGCTGACGGCTTGCGGACGCGAGGGTATTACTATGAGGCTGGACAACAAGAGCTACAGCGAGAATCGAGACATGCACGAGTCGATCTTCGGAGAACTGTTGTTTGCCACCCGCGAAAACCCCAAGTCGCTGAGAGAGCTGACTTTGTGCGAGGACAGATTCCGACTGCTGTGCGATGTCGCCGCGGAGGACGAGAGCCTGCTGCTCACGACTCGAGAGCGGCACGACGCCTTCGAGCGCATGCTGGACGAGTACGGAAAGGTCAACTTTAAGAAGAACACAGCTAGATACCTGTACCTGAGCGGGATCAGGGGATCGCTCTACAGCACCTTTCTGTCTAGGTTTTTCGAGTCGGACGCCCGGAACCGACTGGACGGGCTGGCGCTCGCCGTAGACGAAGACCGAGTCAGCAAAACAACGGTCCGTTACATCTTCGAAACGTTATGCCCCGCATCTGACGACGAGGGTTCGCCATTGAGCGCCGAGCCGGATAATAGCCCCCCGTCCATCGGCGAAAAGAGAAAAATCTCCTGTCTACAGGCGCACGAGGACCTAGACGGTGCCGAGGCGAGCCTGCCCAGAGGAGGGAACCCCACCATTGCGAACGGCCTCAAGCGACTGAGCGACATGTACATGAGAGGGACTGTGCCGAGGGGCAGTTACGGCCGTTTCTTGAGGCTGAACCGAGCGGGACGACACTTTTTCCTGCGCGTGAAGGAAGACGTGCTCCGAGACGAGACGACTCGAATGGAAAGGTTGTTTTTCATGGCGCTTTGCGGCACCGATTACAGTGTGGTGCTGCCGGGACTGGGGATAAAGCGACTGATGACCGGAGCGGTAACCAACTACAAGTCCTTTTCCTCCTGGTGCCGAGAGCTGAAGAGTCTACTCTGGGACGTCGCTTCGCCCGGGAACCGCGACTGTCACGCCGTGTGTTTGAGGCTGGCCGATCTCACGAAGGTCCCTGTGACGATCCGGTCCAAGTCCTGGACCGAGGCGACTTGCGGATTAGTGGCCAAGACCATGAAATACGTCTGCGACCTGTGGAGCCTCAAGAGACCAACGCCGGGACCCGAGTACGGGTTCTCTGTGCGCGATGGTGTAGTCCACTTTGACCGCGAGGACTCGCCGCTTGTCGATACCTCGAGTGACCGGTACGCGGAAACCTAAAAGGCCGTTGGAAAACAGTGTACTTGCCCGTGAGGACGAAGAAATGTTCTTTCCCTGTTCAAATGTATCCCCAAAGTGGGCTTTTGTGTGTGTGTGTGTGTGTGTGTGTGTGTGTGTGTGTGTGTGTGTGTGTGTGTGTGTGTGTGTGTGTGTGATCCGACAATGCAGCTCATGTGAAACATGTTATGTGAAATAAAATGTTCCTCTTGTTGTACTGTAAAGTGCGCCACCGTGTGGGTTTTGT